TTATCGGCATCATTATTCCTCATCTAATGAATACCATCTACGTATCGGATAAAATGGACGAATTTTTAAAATATACTTCACACGACACAATGACAATTTTCTTTCCGAAACGTTGTTTTCAGAAATACCGTGAAGTACGTGTGGAGGACATGGAGTACGATTTCGGGTGTGACGCGTTTCAAGAGAATCGGCCTAACATTGCCAAGTGTAGTCGTAAGTTATTCTGTTCTGATAATGTATAAAACAGATTATTGCCTTATTGAATTTTTCTCCTTATTATATGATGCTTTATTGTTACTCACTTGACGAAGTAGTTCTGTCACAAACGAGCAGAGGAAATTTTCTTTACAGTGGATTGTTCTATTTCTGTATCACTGTTAAGATGAATGGTGTCAATAGCACAAACAACTGACATGTATCACAGACTTGTCATTGGAAACTGGTTATTTTTATTGAAAACATCGATCAGTCTACGTATTTGTGAATAGGTTATTATTTCACTTTGATAGACCATGGCAGCCGTGTAGAAAGATATACCAAGTCATTGTGATCACTTAACTACCTCTAGTAAGTTTCAGTTATTATCTGCATTTCAATCCATTCGTCGACTGACGTGTGTGCATCTTTCTTAACTAGCACAAATTCACACTGCAGAGTACAGTCACTAACACAAATCTTTTGAAAAACAACCTGCGTTTCAACAAAAAATTATTTGTATCTTCAAATGAGGTCGACCAGATTGTAATTTTTATATTGACTAGAGCTAACTTGATGAATATAGTCTGTTTTTGAATGTTCAGGATAAACAAAATAATCCGCACAACTTCCTTCTTCTTTCACTTTTCTTTCATACAGAGGTTTGCGAGACATCATTTTGGATGTAAGTATCTTGATGCCGTTGATCTAGAATCAGATGGCGACAGTGGAAATCGTCATTCACATTTCGAACGCCGTCTGTCCATTGTAAGTGTACAGCTAGCTTAACCACTGTGCAAATATTTTCCCAAATAATCACTTCATTATTAATACTATGATTTGATTTTCAGGGTGAAATTATGTCTGGTAAAATCGATATCATGGCTTCTGTCTCTGGGTTGACTCTCGGTTACTTCAATGATACTGGGTAAATTTCAAATTCGTGTTCTTTCGAAGTTTTCGTTTCATTTTCTCCTAACACTGAGATGGTGGCATTTCAAAGTTCGGTAGTTGTGCATTTCTATGAAAAGTGAACTAATCAATTTCTTTTCATACATCAAATCACAATAGATCGTTTACGGCAACATATTGTATTCTTCAAAGAGCTAATTCTGCATGGTTAAGTAGTCTTCCAGATGAACATTACGATTCCTTCTTTTCGAGCCACTCAAATGAGGTAATCCATTATTGATGACATTTGAGTTGGAATTAATCAACATTTGGAGAGTGCACAAATCATATGAACGTATAATATTACTGAGTCACATAAACTGTCATTACAACGAATGATGAACACGATTCGTTTTCGTTTAACAACCATATTGGATTAATCGATTCGTCTCATTCATTTCGATAACCATTCTACTTTAGTCTGCTTTATAAACGTACCTTATTTCAGAATTACATAATGTAGAATTACATACGATGGACTAAAGCAGTGATGATGACATATTGTTGACGTCGACTGCACTGAATGTCGTCCCATATACTACACATGTATTTTCACGGTTGGGTACATAAGTGAATTCATAGTACACTATCGGCAAGCTTTCAGTTTCAACATAATTCTTGAGTAGCTTAGTGTCTGTATTTGCCAGAATGTCGTTCCCATTATTGTGTAGATCCAGTGAGTCAGTCAGTTGCAACGTAGAACATCGTATGTTTGTAAAGCAGTTCAAGTTGCCATACTACATTAGTACAAAGACGCGAATTTCAAATCAAATCCCATAGTGATTAAGATAGTAGAGGTATTTATGGTAATGAAGAAGACTAGGGTTTGAAGATATTATTCAAGCAGTATAATTCAGTCAGATAAGGTTAGAAAAATAAAGGTAGATTAGGATTTGAGTTAGCACAACGAATGGATGCACTTGCGCCATTGCAAACGATTTTGAGCCAGGTCGATCAAGGTCTCTAACCATTGGTGACTTTCGTCTCGCGGACCCCAACCAGGTAGTCTACATCTACCAACATGACTCAGTCCACTTATCAGTGACTTCATGGATTTCTGCCATGTTTTGTTTTGGCCACCCCCAGCTTTCTTCCAACCTACTCCTACACTACAAAACACAGCTCGTCGAGGCAGTCGGTGGTTAGGCATACGTAACACATGTCCCAACCACCTCAACCGATGAAGTTTCAATAATTCATCTATTGATCTCCCATCTTTACCTAGTACTCGTTTCCAAACGACAGCTTTGCTTAATCGGTTGTCCAACGACATACGAGCAATCCTTCTGAGACATAAATGATCGAATACTAGTAACGTCCGAACATCTACTCTGAACGGTCATTATTGCATCCATATAGGAGAACAGAGCGAACTGCTGCGCAGTACACCCAATTTTGGTTAGGGAACAGATATCTGGCTTACGCCATAAACGGCGTAAATTGGTGGGAGCGAATCGAGCTTTCTGTATCCGCACTGAGATTTTTTCAGTCACCAGGTTATCAGCGCTGATGAGATTCGCCAGATAGGTGAAGTGGTCAGCACGCTCGACTACTTCAATCTCAATCACTAGTTCAATTCCAATGCGAACCAGTGTTATAGCAACATTTTGCATTTCGAGGGAGAAAACCGCATTCCGAAAATGCCTGCATTATTGCTTATGGTAGTAAGAAGACTCTGCATTTTGTCAGCGTTGTAAGCATTCTAATCCGTAAATATTTCAGATTATCAGAAAATCAATCGTAAAATGATGCTGATAATATTTGTTTACTTGTGATATTTTAGATGGTACAATGTGAATTTTTCTATGGCTGAACGATGGGAGTGGGGTCGTGATCAAGGCTGCGATTTCATTCATCAAAGTTGTGGTGAATTCATTGAAACACAAAAATCAAGGTGAAAACCAATAAAATAAACTTACTTTTCTCACGGGTAAAGTGAATTTCGACTGACTGGATTTCGTTCACTAGACATTCTGCATAATGTCACTGTTGGCAAATCAACTATTGACAATGTGTAGAGATGTATGAACAAAGATGAACAACACTGGTTCTCATCTCTGTCCTCTTTTGGAAAACCAGTAGTTAACACCGAACTCATGTACTCAGTGCCAAATAAAATCTGAAGACAACCTCTGATGTTCACCATATAAAGCCATTGGTGAAGACGTTTAACGAATCAATGATTTGACAGAATCATTATGTGTTATTAAACTAGTCGTTGATGACATTCACTGCTTATATTGTGATGTGACTTACTACGAACAATTTTAAAATTGAAATATTCGCCATGATTCGGGAGAGATAGAGACAGCTCGAATAACACGACAATGAGACAGAAATAACTGATTAATTCGAAAATCTTTTGTATATTCAGTCAGTCTGCAATTCATCCAGATAAGACTGCTTTTAATGCATCATTATACTGGTTTCCTTTAGACAGGAAATCATCCCGTTTAATGTTGAAGTCGGGATTGAGACAGATTGGCTTAGCACAAATAATTACAGAGTGTCTTGAACAACGTTAACGGAGACATTTATCTATTGACACTCATCGGCGAAACAACTGATCAGTGATATTACGCTCTGGTAATGTCACTCGTAACACAGTTCGTGATAATTGCGATTCAACTGCAATATCTACTGTCATGAATTCACGTGTTTGCTTATCGTTTGAAAGATTCAACCTGAAGATTGGACTGTTTACATTCAAGATGTCAGAGTATTTTTCATCACTGACTAAATCATCATGGTCATTATAACATATGTAAATAACCAGGTAGGACGAGATCCACGAGTCTGTTGAACAGAGGGATGGAACGCATTTCGACATCAATCGTTAGGTGGCGTTGACAAACTAATTTGTTTTTACTTACAGAGGACAGAATTCATATCCTTGGTGTGATGAAATGATTTCAAGATATCGGTGCATTCCTCATGCCAACGCTTACGGAATATGCAATTTGGTGAAGTTCAATATTTGTTTGATTGAATTACCTGACGAAGATATATAGTCAAGTTTGCTTTATTGAGTCAGGGAACAGTATGATTACAAGATATTATACTTGCTGGGAACCGTTGGTTTTGATTTGACTGACACATTTTACTGAACACTCAAATAATTATAAACAGACCAAGAGTAAACATTGTTATTTTGTTAGGATTACTCAAAGTATTCTACAGTTTCAAGCTATGTGTTGTGAAGTAATCAGTTTCATGTTCAGTGATACCAGACATTTGTAATTTCAGTAATATTATCGACTATAAGTTGATCGCCATAAAAATGCTCGTATTCAGGTCACACAGTTTTAGGGCACAGTTCATACTTTGAGCATGATCGAAAATCTGTGAGGCCGTTTACATGGCGGTTTTCGTGAAATGTTTCATTTGATGTGTCTTCAAGTGTTTCAAGTCATTTTACTATACGGAACAGTATCTGGTAATTTCAAGCCCTTGCTTCTCAAACACTTAATCCGCTTTATCTTTCGTTGCATTGCAGTTAATTTAGTTATGACGTCATCGCGTTTCTCTGCCTCACATTCTGGGATGCAAAGTAGTCTATTGTTGTTGACGGCTGAATATGAATGTGGTTGTTCAATGCTCTTCCCTCAAAAACATTGTAACACACCAAACTGGACGACTGCAATATTTATCTTCAATAACATTTCATTGAGAGATACTTACGGATATTAGGTACTATGAATGTACGTCTAATATAGACTTTGTGAAATAATACAGTCACAACACCTGTATAAGTTGACGATACCACGTATTTCTATTAGTATTTACTTCATTATTTGTAATTCATTTGCACAGCTAACTGATTCAGTGAATGATGTCAATTTATTTTGAATTTGAAGGTGAAATGCAAACTCCGTCGCGAAGTCGAAGTAATGTTTGACGGTAAATGGCGTGTATGTCCCGAAAATGGTGGCACTATTGTAACTGCAAAAGATACGACTAGCGAAGACTGGTTAGAATGTCCAGCTTTTAAACATGTATGTTCGGTGAGTTGAATGATGTTTACTGAAGAGATACAATTTTGTTAGATAATCTTACTCGATTTATCGTCAACTGTTTCGTTTCTATACGAAAACCTCTTCTTTATCTTCACTCAAATTAAACACTTCTATCTCTAGTACACTATTTTTGATGTCCATGTTACCATTTTTCATTCGTAATTGAGAATAAATTCTTTATAAGCCGCCGATTTCAAATCAACTAAACAACTGTAAAAGCATTGGTGAATATTGCTCGACATATTGCTATAATCAGTCTCATTTTCTCTCTATTCCATTTCATTCACATCTTTCTAGGAAGACGAAATAATAGAGAGAATGAGAAGGCGTGAGAACAGACTGGAAGGAGACAGTAGTTATATTGACACGAACAGCATTTTGTAGCTATTCATCGATATAATTGTACTTTTCCTAATAAAACTCGAATCTGTTCATGTGTTCTTTTCTTGCTGTATCTTGTAGTCGAAGTTTGAGACTGTGTCTTTGGATCATCAAAGCTTGATGTTAATTTTACCAGGTCTGATAAAAGACAGAATATGAAAACATATGGTAATGTTTTCACGTTTATTCATCTTAACATCGGAATACACAAAATGTATGGAATGAAACAATATGTAAAATAATGGTTTTTCTGTACAAATGGCTTGTTCTAAAATGATCGTTTGACTTATAACATACTGAATCCTGTGGAGGTCGATTGAGTACCGACTGAAATCGTTACATTAGGGATCACTGTTGGCCAATCAATTTACTGGAATTCACAACTCTACATTAAATTATTTCACTACGAATAAGCCTTTGACAAAGTGTACAGAATGATACTACAGAGACTTCTTCGATGCTATGTCGAGTCTGAGAAGATGGTCAACGCCACACGGAATCCGTATGATCGATTGAATTGAATCATCCAACCCAAGAAATATTAGTAAATGTTTAAGTAGGTTTGTCACCACACACTCTATCCATAATACCCAGGCGTTTACTCGCAAAGCGCAAACTACGAAAACTCGATACCAAGCCAGCTGGAAAAAAATTCCGCCAAATTAACAGCACCCATAGCAAATGGCACTTGAACGCGGAAGACCATCTTCAAGGCAAAATCATCACAAATAAATATCACCATATAATGAACACTGTATTAAAAACAGTGAAGCTCTGGAACTGCCAGCCTAATCGAAATTTTTTCGTGATACCTCTGGCGCAATTAATAGCTCAAGTCATTCCATTCAGCATGCAGACTATAAAAGCAGTCACCACGCAAAATCTCAAACAGGCAAAGTTCTCAAACTTCTTCACTCAAGTTCCTCTCAGCTGTTTTCGGCTTTGTTCACCGTCAGCCTAACGCACCAACAGCAAATCTAGCCATGTTTTCAGAAGTATTCACATTCGCTTCAGTCAATGCTATTTGTGGAGACTTAAACATGCCTGAAATCCCGTGGTTCTCAACCAACGCACCTAAACGATTCGGATAACTTGCTGAATGCTTATAGCTTGTAGGGTGTAGTCAACATGTTGACGGCTCAATCAGACATAAAAATTTATTTGATTTAGCTTTGCTCACTAATTTCATTACTAATGCTTTACACGTTGGTAAAACGTTTCCATGTAGCGATCATAATATTTTCATTTGCAGTCTTGATATAGAAGCCACAACTATAATACGAAACACACTACATCTCATAACTGTAATGACTTCTCCTCATCGGATAGAATGACTGAAATATTTGTCGACGCAGAGATAATACATATTAAAAAGGCAATTCCACAGAAAACGCGTGCAGTTCAGCTCAATAATGATTCTTCTGCACCATTTAAAATTCTCTGAAATAAAAAGGTTCAATGCTTTAGAGTGTGAAGGACAACCAAGTGCATGAAGACACGCAACGTATCGTAGAGCTGCTTTGCGAATATTTTAGTGCTACTTTAACAAACGAAACTCCAATTAGTGAACTGTGCCTGAATCAAATGCCTTTCAGTCAAATCGCTAGTGCAGAATTCAATGTACAGAACATTTCAAAGGCGATTGGTACCAGGACCAGATGTCATTTCTGCCAGCACGCTGAAAAGTATCTGTGTGCCACTCTTCTTGAACTATTTACAATATCACTCTCTACAGGGTGTTCCCCTTTTAACTGGAAGACTAAACATATCATCACCCCAGCCAAATCTGTGCTGGAGACAAACTGATCCTAGTATCAGTCATTTTCGTCAACTTTCGATTAGGTCCCAAACAAAAGACTTCTCCTTACCCTAATGTCATTCGAAAGCAGTAACACACTTTATTCATTGTTTGTTTCATTCCTAAAGGGACGCCAACAAATAGTTAAGTACAACGATTGCTTTTCATCACCTTTACCGATAACCAGTGGAGTTATCCAGAATAGCGTACTACGTCTACTCTTGTTTCTGATGTACACAAACGAGATATGTAGAACTATGAAATTTGGGAAATCACACTTATATGCAAATGATCTCAAAATAGTGTTTAGCTATGAATCTGAAGATCTGGAAGAAAATGTAGTCAGGAGGCAAAGTAACTTTGAAAACTACATACCCGGAGCGAAGCATGGTAGCTATGTCTTGAATTACATCATGGATAGTTTGCTACATCAGTGTTTTTCTGGAAAATCATACCTAAGTCCGCTCACTATTCTTGACTTTTACGTACTTCATCTAACTCCGGTTGCACCCCCTCCGAGGCCGCTGCCGGTCAATGTACGAATAAATTAGTAGGGTTATTATCATTATTAGTATCAGTCAGATTTTTCGACTTTAAGAAAGCTTTTGATAGGGTCTCACACAAAAGACTCCTCCAAAAGCTAATATCATTTGAAATCAGAAGCACACTATATTCATGGTGTATTCATGATGTATTCCTAAACGGACGCCAACAAACAATTATTTTCAACGGTTGCTCTTCAGCAACGTTAACAATAACCAGTGCAGATGTCCAGAGATGCGTAATAGGTTCACTATTATTTCTGATGTGTAAAAACGAGATATTGTAGGATTCGTCAATAGGTACGCTTGAAGTTAATACGAGTTCACCCTGGTCTATAAACGCGAACGAAACAATTACCAGCGTCCAGATAGGCTACCTCGAATCTCACGCTGGAGATAGAAAGCCTTTGTAATCGTAGAAAGTATATTCTACAAACACCCAGCAATCAATCAAGCACACAACTCTCGTCTATTTAAACACAATAGAAACGTCCTTGGGACAGTTTCAAAAATAGCTCACTAAAATACACAGCATACAATCACAGTCATGCATTTTCCTGGTGGGAAATGAAATCTCAAGATCAACTGATCAGCGCATGCTGGCAAACGCGAAATCCAAGATAAGTCATTTATCGAGCGAGTTCTAGGGATCCGACATCTCCGACCCTCCTCATTTTTTAAAAGCGTGTGCTCCTGGGGTCGACTTGCATCTTCACTGTCGTTCGCCACTGTCTGAGTAGGTACCTCCTGGAACAAAGAGAAGCTTGCTAGTGAGTTTCGTCTGGTGGTTGAGCTGTCGTAAGATTGAAGGTATGAAGCAAGATTTCAAAAGGGAAGGCTTTCTGCTATTGAAAGGCGATCTGGGGCTAGCCGTCTGCGTATCTGATCTCGAAGACGTGACCATTTATCACCTCCTACCTCTAATTCGTACATAACTCGACCAACTCTTCAGACAACTCGCGCTTCTGCATAAATATCATGGTTCGTTCTGTAGTTGTAGTCAAACACAGGGCATCTTAATTCTTAAACGGATTGTCTTTGCGGCTTTGTCTCTACTGATGTTGGTGCATTAGTCGGATGCATCAGGCTGTGGATCGTTTTCAGTCTTCTTCTTCACATCAGGATTTCTGCTGGGGACATTTGCTCCAGTAACATCACTTTTGTTGTTGTCCGATAGACATATAAGAAATATTTTAACGCATCGGCTGGTGTCCTCTCCCTTTTTGACTTAACCAACGTTCTTTTAAACGTATCCACAAACATTTCCGCTTGCATATTCGATTGCGAGTGGTATGGCGGCGAGCGTAAGTGTGTAATGGCTAGCCGTTGGCAAAAAGTCTGCACTTGAGAAGAGGTGAACTGAGAGCCATTGTCGGATACGACCACATCTGTTATGCCATTTCGCGAGAAAATTTCTGTTAAGACCTGTACTGTCTCAGTTGTAGTGAGCAGCATGTCGGGTCTGATTTCTGGCCATTTTGAGAAGGCATCGGCCACAAATAAATACATAGTTCCAATGATAGGACCATCGAAATCAACATGTATACTCCTCAGGTTCGGAACATGAAACCAGCGAAATTTTGGCATTCATGTTTGCCACCTGCGGACACCGCATGCATTTTTCAACCAACGCTGTGTTATGTTGATCCATGAAAGGCCAGTATGCATAACATCTGTCCATGAACTTCATTCGTTTAACATCAGGATGACCGAGATGCAACTGTCTGAGCACTTTTGCACGGAGGAATTCTGGCACCATCACTCTTTCAACAAACATCAAACAATCGTTCACAATGCATAGTGAAACCCGCCGCTGATACAGTTGCTTCATATCACCATCAAACGTCTTCGACGGCCAACCGTTACTGACATATTTCATCGTCATCTTGATGACGAAGTCGTTTCTAGAAGCGTTTTGTATGCCTGTTGCAGACGCCGGTAATGCGCGAATTGCGGTTGACAGATAACATTCTGCGTGGTCTTCTACAGACAAAGATGCAATCACCATTTTTTCCTCAGCCATCACCTGATCACCAATAAGTCGAGACAAAGCGTCCGTCTGACCGAATTGTAGAGTGCGTCGGTATTGGATTTAAAAATCATACCCCTAAAGCATCAAGGGCTATTGCTGAAGAAGATTTGCAAAATGAGCTCAAATATCAGATTTAGAACCGAATACTGTCAACAGAAGCTTGCGAGCTGTGAGGAGCGTGAATCACCTATCGCAGAGAAACTTGTGGAAACGGCGGACGGCAAACACAAGGGCAAAAGCCTCTTTCTCTGTCTGGCTGTAGTTATTTTATGCTGTGGTTAGTGTACGGGATGCATGCATAACGGCTTTTTCTGACGCGTCTGGAAAGTGATGTGAAATAACAGCGCCTAGGCCATATGCTCAAGCGTCTGCTGCTACGATGATCGGCATGAACGGGTCGTAGTGTGTTAATAACAGTTCCGAGATAATTATAGACTTGAGTTTTTGAAAAGCCGTGTCACACTCTTTATTCCAGTTCCATGTGCTATGCTTCTGCAGTCGAAAATTCAATGGAGCGCGAATAGGATGTATCGAGCGACTAGATGCTGAATAACAACTGAATAATCCAAGAAAAAATTGCAATTCCGAAACATTAGTGGAAGTAGGCATCAGTTTGATAGCTCGGATGTTC